TGAGTGGTCTTTAGTGTTACCAAGGTAAATGATACCATATGCCAGACTGTGATAACAGAGGTTATAACAGAAAAAAAAAAAAGAAAATGCACCAAATTATAATTAGCCAAGTGTCATTAAACCCAAAAGGATAATACCAGCCTCATTAGTGCACTCATCAGGATGTTTTAAAAAGGAAACTGTTTACACCTCATCAGTTTATTATTTACATTTTAATGAGATGAAAATGAACTCACATGCATTTAGCCCACATGACCCGTTTCTCACACTCATATCTTGTTATTGCTGCCGGTTCTCACACTGTGACACACATGAAACCAAAACCTCAGAGCAGGAACAGATCGCCCACTGAATGACTGGGGAAATGACAATAATAATATTGATAGCATTGGTAATTCATGAATATTCCATAAAACACACTGAAGAAAACAAATATAAAATAATCACACAGCGTTCACTGCTGAATGAAAGACTTTCCCCCCCTTTAAGCGTGAGTGTAATAATGCAGCAAATCACTGAAGTGTATCTGTTCTAACACATACACACACACACACACACACACACACACACACACACACACACACACACACACACACACACACACACACACACACACACACACACACACACACACACACACACACACACACACACACGGTCTTCAGAGTAATTACTAGCTGTAATCCAAAGACTACACTTTAAACATTTTGACTATTTGGTTTCTTAATAAGGTTTGATACATTTGCCTTGTTTGCTCTCAAGTTAGGGCCTCAGGTTGTAGTGTTATCTGAATCTACATTTCAATAAATAACATCTTCTGAATCTACATCACGGCAAGGGCACTTATTCTGCAAGTACAGATCAGGGACACCCAAATGCTTTGGCACAAAGCTTTCACTGCAAGCTGAATAACACAAAGACCTTGACAGAGAATAGAATTAGATTCAATGTGTCATTAGTTCAAATGTTTTATGGCAGTGTGAGAGCTTTGGGACCTCTGTTGGAAATCCACAGGTGCTCAGAGTAAAAGGGGGGGGGGGGGGGGGGACAGGAAACAAAATGGTGGAAATGTTCACCTCTGGAGAGTAAGAGCTGTGTAAATCCTGATCCTGGCACAATTGTGGGGCCTTTTTTCAGGATGCTGAGAAGTAAAAAAAAAAAAAAAAAAAAAAAACTGTCTCAACTATTAACATCTCCTTTGCCACATTGTTTGCTCTCCTGAACAAAGGCTTTTAACAAGTATTTAGAGTGTTTTGCAACCATCTTCATGAGTGAGCATTTATATTTTTGTGAAACTCATTTGAGGTCTAATGGCTTGACTTTCAGCTAGCCCGATTAGAGTGCTTGCAAACAAAACCTCTGATGTCTGATCTTCTTCTTCCTCCTGTTGCATTTTTTTCCCCTCAAGTATTGTCATCTATCTACTTCTTCCCACTTCCTGCAGTAAAGTCAGTGTTTTAAAGAATCATACAAACACACCATAATATTTTCTACCCCACAGGTAACACAAGTTTTCCAGTTTTCCAGTGATAAGAATGAGCACATTCTGGGAAATACAGTATGGCAGTGTTCACTCAACTTACAGACAAGACTGCAACATCTTACAAGCAAGCAGTCTGACACACACTCTTACTGTCAGGACAATGTGTGTGCATTTGAGATGTGTTGTTTTCAGTTGGTACATGTATCTGCCTGTAAAGGGGCTCCACCAACGTGTTAATCCATAGTGATCAGCAGCTCAATATTGCCTCACTGGAGAGGTGAAATTACAGAGTACTGGAGGCACAAACAACACAAGGAGGAGGTCACTTCCCATAATGAAGAGCACTTATTTCTAAGCTATATCTATTGTGACACTGGATAGCTGCAGCTCAGTTACACTTTCAGTCTCCCAAAAGATCACATAAAATGAATACATCCGTGCAGTTTCTGTTTCAACCCAACAACATCAGCAGTGTTTTGCGCTGATCACTTCTGAGGTCAAAGTTCAGTTCTAAAAGGAATCTACGTGTCAAAAGCTTTTAAAATATAGCCTACATTTTTCAGAGTATAACATTAAAAGTGAGCTAAAAGTGTACGTGCGTGAAGAGCAACACGTACTGTGAGCTGAGTTTGACGTTTCAGTTCAGGAAGCAGGGGAAACTTGTGTCGCGCAGGGCCGTAAACACGTTAACGTCCATGAGCTGAAGTTAAGAGGTTTAAAAATATCAGCTGATAGGGGTAAGGCTGCGAGCTCGCGGTCGGTGGACTCACCTCACACGTGAAGTCCGTGACAACAACACGTAGTCATAATGTGTCTCGAGGAAGCGGCTGGAGCTGATCCGATGAGGATGATGACGACTCCTCCGCTTTGACAAATATGTCTGAAACTGTAACCGTGATTAACGTAAACTTGACACCGCGGAAGGCTGACCTGCTCTCTCTCTCCCTCTCTCTCTCTCCCTCTCTCTCTCTCTCCCTCCCTCCCTCTCTCTCTCTCTCTCTCTCTCGAAAACACACAGGTGCCTCCCCCTTTTTTTTCCTTCCTCTCCTCTCATCCACCCCTAAGGAACATTTCCGACCTCTGCTTGCTCACATTTTCACTACTCACACCGACCCCAACGTGATCACGAACGCCACAATTTTTCGCAGGAATAACCACAGAAACCGAACGCGGCGCAGTCGACGTCACCTCGGCATGAGTGAGCGAGGGAGCCCCCCCCCCCTCCTCTAGAGCCGACACAAACTGACAGCAACCGGGATCAATAAGGCAACATGCCGTCCTGTCCTGTGCCAGGGCCCCCGGTGGTTCTGTACCAGAGCCGAGAACAGAGCAAACTCGCCGATCAAGCAGCACAAACAAGTAAAAAAAAAAACCACAAGCCAGAGCAGAAGGGAAACTTACAATCGGCTCAACTTACCAGCTTCCTTTTTACATCCTGCTCGACCCGGCTTGTTGTTGTCTCTCACCGCGGTGTTAGATGAGACGACGGCACGGCGAAGCGACTGAAAAATTGATAACAACGAATTGCTGGTTATAAATAGTCATGATACCCCTCTGGTGTACCGATGAGTGGTCCGTACAAGCCCCAGGAAATACGTCACGGCCGCGGACAAAGTGGAGACGTTGGAGCAACACCTACCTACCGGCCAGCGGCGCTGCGACACCTCCACCTGCTGGTCACAGGCCGCACAGCACCCTTACGTCCCGATACTGAGGCTGTGGCTGGCAGCTGCCAAACAAGCTGTTTATTCACAGATGGGAAATGTTTTTATAGTATAAACACTTAATAGACGCCCAGTATAATGCCCGACTACACGCCAATAAGCGCCATCTTGATTGATTAAATTCTGGTTGCACACAGTAAAGTGAACATCTTTCTTAGGGCCAGATCAACCAATCAGCAAAAAAACTGCTTTTGGGGAACTACTGACCTGCAGCCATTCCTCCTGCCCACTGTGCGCAGACTATATATGGCTGCTTTATTATTTCCCCAGACCAACCAGTGACCTAGCAATAGTGTTGGAGCAATAGTACCTGGTCCAAATGATGAGACTTGCGATCATTTGATGGTTTTAAGCCACCTTTAATTAGAAATATTCGCATGTATGCTGCCCTGACGTTCAACCATGAACCACAAACGTCCCTGGTTCGCATCCAGCAAAGGACGTTTGTTGCATGTCATTCCCCATCTCTCTCTCCCCTCATTTCCTTTCATGTCATGTCAAAGGGGTCACATTGAAATTCTGTTTTATTCATCAAGCTTTACATTGTTTTTGAAATCTTAAAACATTTACAAGACTACTTGAACATAACAAACATAGTTTCCTTGCTGAAGTTGTAACTAGACTTGTAGTGCTACTGAATAGTCGGGTCACAGATTATTTATTGTTTTGCTCCTTAAAGTCATAAATCATTAAAGCTTAAAGGTTTCACTGAGTAATACAGCTCTCATTTGGAATGCAGAACCAAACTCAGGAAATGAAAACTACCTGCATGCTGAAGCATCTGGAGGGATTAGTGACTACTCAGACTTACAGATACAGCAGCCTAGTCAATAAATCATTCTAATATTAAAGCTTACCATTACCATCTCTTATGTCAACAAATAATTTTTACGCATTTTTCATGTGTTTGTCCAGTATTATACTCATAAATACACCTCACATTATAGTATCTCAAAGAGAAAGTTGAAAGAATGTCAGTTTATATTTAACAAAAAAAGATGCTGCCAGAGAGGACTGGTACTGTACTTTGAAAGGATTCAAACATCAAATGTGCAGCATTTCTGAGCTGAAAGCTATAAATATAATGGGGTCTTAAAAGGTCTTTTCTAGATCCCATCGATTGTAGATTAAGGGAAGGATTCAAGATATTTCACCTGGATTTAATTCAATAAAATATCATCACAAGTTTGTTTGCTTGATCACATATCCTGTAAAGTTTGAAAAGCCCTTTCCACTGTCACATAAACATTAACCACTGCATTGCTTCCTCTGATTCTTTTATTAATAAAAGAATATTATACATAGTACAACTACATTCACATTTATTTATTGTCAAGTTGATAGCTCACATAAAAGTGCAGCACAGTACAATCAAGAGCAATGCAAATTAAAGGAGCAACACGGAGGGAGGAGACCCATTCAAAATATTTATTCAAGTACAAATATGATGATACCAAGGGAGGTCAAGGGGCAATTAAATTTGTTCCAGCATTTTAAATTAGTTGATAAAACAAGAGGCACAGACCCAGTGAGCGTACAATGAAGCAGTCTGCGTTCAGGGTTGCTGGAGCCGAGTTTCTCCCTGTGGAAGCGGACAAACATTGAATCATCACCTTATAAACACAACATAAAAATCCTATTGGTTAGTGGTAACAGGTAGAACTATAATAAAGTATATGTGCTCACAAACACATAACTATAACAGACTCATTATGAAGGAGGTTATTAAAAGGACATTTTATCACCCTCATTTTTCAAGACACACCTCTCAGCTCCAGCAGGACGTCTCCTTCGTATCGAGCCAGTCCGACAGCGTGTCTCTGCTCGGTGTCCAGCTCTTCCCACTGCTCCTCGGACACAGCCCACGCCTGCTCAGCGCTCAGCCACGACAACTGCACTGCACTGAATGCCACCTTTCAATCACACACCCAAATACTAACTCACTCCTACATGACACTTCAAGAGGAGGCAAGCTGCGTGAAGAGATAATATCCTTTTGTGGACATTTTTTTTAATTTTGTTACGAAAATTGAACCAATTTACCATAAAATGTGCAAATTTGTGCTTTCAATGAAAATTAAGTGCAGCTTCCTGTTACAGAGCATGACAAATGAACATGTCTCAACATTAAACACACACAGTACATATACAAAATGTAGGGTGTACTGTCCGTATCTTTCTTCCCAAATCAAATCATACATTTGACATGTTTTTTTACTGCAGCTTTTTCTCAACATTTATTATCTATGTGTCCTCAATTCACTTTATCCAGTATGATTTTGTTTGAGGGCATAAACTGCTTTCTCCATTGCTAATAAGTCTTTGAGCCTTTATTTTCCAATTCATTGAGATTTTCTGTTTTAATGTGGCTCTTTGTTTTTCCTTTACATTGTCACGATGTAGGTCAGCGTCATTAAGAGATAAGTAATCAATCATTTCATTTCATTTGTAAAAAATGTCTTATATAACCTTTAGTATATCATATCATGACAAATACCTAATTTATGTCTCTATTTGTTGAAAGCATAAAAAATTTTATACATTTATGAAACACGTTTGTAAATTAATAGCAACCATTATTGTGATGGAAAATATGTAAAATTTGGCAGCTAGTGTGCATCTACAAATTCCCCGTTTGAAAAAAATAAGGTCATTTTATGATTTGAAAAAATAACTAAAATATCTGTTTTGACATTTTGACTACAAAAAGCACAGGTGTTAACATTAGCAATGGCTCTGTTGTATTTAAGGGTCACAGTAAGTCATGACAGTGTAAGAGTGGACCAGAACGCACAATACCAGGACCCTAAAGGTGAAGCAGCTACATGGAATTCAGCCATCATTCATCTTATCATTTACAGCTGTGCTTTTTCTACTGTAACATGAAATGTCTAAATGAAAAAGGCTAGTTGACTCCTCTCTTTGACACTTTATGAGACTAACTCTTATATGTTAAATATAACATCTCAAAATTGTGTGGACCCCTAAAATTATGGGTGAAACTCACTGCCATTTGTTTTGGTGACATCAGTGCGATGGCTTCAGGGGTGATTCCCTCCACTTGTTCTTGTACCAGAGCTGACAGCACCATGTCCTCCAGGCCCACTGGACGGAGACACAAACGCTGTAGTCAGAAAATTAATGTTTCTCATATCAAATCACAGGAGAAGTTCTCCTAAACATTTATACCCTCAAGGGTATTTTTAATTGCACCTATCCATCCAAGAGCTGTCATTTCCTCCTCCCATCCACCTACCGAAAAACATTTTTTTAAAGTTGATTGTAAAAAGTTTATACCCCAGGGATATTATGTTCTACTGTACCTGCCAATGTCCCAATTTCAGTGAAAACTTCTGGTCCCCAGGCGCTGACTGGACCAAAGGCCTCAGGTCTGGATAAACGGCTTGTCAACACCTCCATCTGCTGTTCTGTGCATGGCAGGGACATCTCCCGCAGGAACAGGACAGCCATACTGCAGTTGGAGGAAGAAGATCATTCTCTTCTGAGGGTGTGCGAAATATTTTCGTGAGGTTTGTGCTGCTGAAAAATGTGCACCAGCCTCCTGTTAGTTAGCGTCTGTTTGCAAGTGGATGTGAAATCATTAAAGAGGTGGTATTATGCTAATTTCAGGTTCAAAATCTTAATTAGAGGTTGTACCAGAACAGGTTTACATGGTTTAATTTTCATACTGCACATTGCTGCAGCTCCTCTTTTCACCTTATGTGTTGTACTCACCGCTCTTGAGCTACAGAGTGATGTATCTTACTTGTACAAAATTGCGCAGAGTTGCACATGCGCAGGTCCCAGTAAAGACTACTAGCCAATCAGAAGCAGAGAAGGGCGGGTCGTAAGAAACAAGGTAGTGTGATCCAAATCAAAGCTGCTCTATACTGCGATGTAACCTAGCCAGATGGTATAAGGTTTTTTTTTTGTTTGTTTTGGGGTTTTTTTCTCCATTTATTTATTTATTTTGCATAATACAAAACCAACAATTCTAGCCCCTTAGGACAAAAACATAATCCAGGACTAAGTACATAGAAAATAAGGTGCAAAGTTCAAGTTCAAGTGCACTTATAGACTACACAAACAGCTAGAAAATAGGAAAGGAACAAACAAATGATCAAAACATTACTAGAAGGAATAAAAAAAATAAAAATAAAAAATAAGTATCCATTTTAACCTCTGGTTGGGGTCCAATTAAATGACAATCTAACAAAAGTATATAAAGTAATATAGCCTTCTTGGAATTAACTATCTTCATTGAATCTTT